AACAAAAGAATTTGAGAATCTTCGTAAATACCATATTATTTTAAGAATTATGAATAAATTTATACAGACGAGAAACCTATATTTTCAGAAAATTTAAGTGAATTTTTAAATCAATTTGGGGCTGTATTTTTCTATTTGATTGTATTTATTTGTCATGTCTAACTAGCGTGGGCCTAAGCTGAAAATAAGACTGGAAAATAAAGAAAAAAGAAAAAACTGGTGGTTGGTAATAAATTCATTTCCTGTTTGCTTTCTGTGTGAGAAGTTAAAAAAGTTCTTACTACTCTTAAATACAAACTATTCATCGTTAAACGTTATATATTTTAACCTTAAACTCATATTAAAAAATTTATTTTATCTATATATATAATTCTTAGATTTATATATTTAATTTACCATGATTTTGCCAACCACTAAATGCAAATAAATAAATTTTAGATATAAGAGCAAATGATAGAAACAAAAATGAGTGTAAGCCATAGCAATCATGAAAAGTTTATTTTATTTACAATTGAAATTTCATTTGAAATCGAATTAATTTAACCTAATTTAAACGTTTCATTCAAAACATTTTAAATCGATTATGAATTTTGCTACCAATTTAAATACAAGAAATGAAATTTTTCCTGAAACTAAAAAAGAAAAGAAAAAAAAGCATTTTCGTGCGGGAAAAGTTTCTTAAGTCACAAAAAGATTTATGTCTTAAAAATTTTTTCTAAAAAACATAATTTTGATTATGTTTCTAAAATATTTTTGATTAATAAATAATTTAAATTTATTTGTTTTACAAAAGATTATGTGTCTGAAGGCACAAAAAAATTATACACATTATTCCCGAGAAAGTTATTAAAAATTATTCCATTCTTAAATCGTTATCTTGCTATTTGTTTGTAGAATAGTTCTAACGATTGTAGAAGTTCGCAGTCAATATTAGCTTGAGGAATATTATATTAGAAATAAAGCATTCACACTTACACGTGAACACGTCATTACTATAGTATAGAAAGAGTCTGGAAATTGTTTTAAAGGTGTATCTAAATTTTTACTTACTTAGAAGTATTCATATGTGCTAAAATATTTTTTATTCCGTTTATCCTGGTGTGAAAACTTCGAAACTGCTTTTATAAAAAGAATTTAAAGTTAATTTTATGAAAATTTAAGTATTTTCGAGAAAATTGGTCACCACACCACACTTTAATTTTTTCAGGTGGTGAATACCGTGTATATGACGAAGGATCATAATGGGTACCTTACGTTTTGAAGAGGTTATAGAGCTGATAAATATCTCGTTCCTTTGAGACAAATGTTAGTATTGAAGCAATTGCGCGACCACTTTTTACTATCTTGCTGACAAGAATATGTTATGATTCGTTCGCTCGTTATTATGAAACTGAGAAGGTTTTACGGATGATCAAGAAGCTGTAAAATTATTTCAAAACAAATTTTTTTTATTATAAAACTGGTAGAAATAATATTTTCTTTTAACCATTTTTTTCTTCTAGCGGGATTAAGTAATGTGCTTTTACCTTTAAAGTGTTAAAATAAGCATTATATTTAGAGTTCAAAAATAAACTATGAATGTTTAGAACACAATTTTTAATTAGTAGATGTACAACGAATAAATTTTTTCTTTTTGAAAAAGTGTAGAAATAAAAAAAAATTCACTGTCTGTTAATACGAAGCTAAATGCTTACCAGTTAACGTAATGATCCCTTACCACAAAGTTTACACGGCAGAACCTTATTTTCGTTTAAACATTTCCGTTCTGCATCCCCTTCTCTTAAAAATAAAACTGTTGTCATACCTTTCCCACAAGGAAACATTACAAGATGGTCAATATCAAAAGAAAACAAACCAACAGTTGTTCATCTTTTGGAAGGGAACAAGATATGGAAGGCACCCTTTGTAACTATGTCCGGTAACAGAAATAATCCCACCGTCCTTTTCAATTCTTATTTCCATAAACCATCCTTCAACGCACACGAACAAACACCTGATCCGTTAGGAAAAAACTACAAACCAACAATGGCAAGACAGCGCCAGAAGCATGAGATTCTAGAAGGTAACACGATCAGGGTGCTTGAGAATTAAAGAAAGGGGTGAAGGTCCAGATTTCCATTCCATCTGGCATCCTCCTGAGGGTGGTCCAACCGACAAAGGGTTACTTGGCGTGGGTGCTGCAGAGAAAGAAAATGTTGCCATTGATTGACAACAATTGATGAATCCTGTCATCGGGCTACTGTCCGTGGTTGATGCTGCTAACTACGTCAATTGAACTTGGAACAGGTGTGGATAAAAAAAGAATATTGAAATCATTTTTCAACACGTTGGGCTTGGTGGGAGGGTAGAGGATCCAGACGTCAATCATTCTGAAGTTCAGATTTTTGTTGAGGTGATCAACCCCTGGAAGATGGGGCGAAAGAACTTGAAGAGTAGTTGCAAGATGAAAAGGAAGATTTAATATTTTGTAAGGAACTAGAGTTATCGTAATTATTGACAGGTCTCCTGGTGGTCTACATTAAATATTCTAGTGGTAGTAAATAGCTTATAAAAGCTAATGAAAAATGCTCTAGTTTAAAAACCAATTACGGTTACTGGGAGGCTAAGCCTCCTGCTCACAGCCGCTCACCAACACCGAGGATTACTTCGCATTAATTGTCGTTTCTGGGAAGGCAATAGTTTTTCTACTAAAGTTAAAATTATTCACTTTTCTTCTCAATGCTTACAATGTTAGGTTTTGGTAAATGTATTCGAGAGTAAAGATCGTTGTGTTTAGTAAATGTATTCGAGAAAGATCGTTGTGTTTGGTAAATGTATTCGAGAGTAAAGATCGTTGTGTTTGGTAAATGTATTTGAGAGTAAAGATCGTTGTGTTTGGTAAATGTATTCGAGAGTAAAGATCGTTGTGTTTGGTAAATGTATTCGAGAGTAAAGATCGTTGTGTTTGGTAAATGTATTCGAGAGTAAAGATCGTTGTGTTTGGTAAATGTATTCGAGAGTAAAGATCGTTGTGTTTGGTAAATGTATTCGAGAGTAAAGATCGTTGTGTTTGGTAAATGTATTCGAGAGTAAAGATCGTTGTGTTTGGTAAATGTATTCGAGAGTAAAGATCATTGTGTTTGGTAAATGTATTCGAGAGTAAAGATCGTTGAGTTTGGTAAATGTATCCGAGAGTAAAGATCATTCACACGAAACACATTTCGAGATGCAAAATTTTCTACCGTTTAAATTATTTTGGCAGATCAAAAGATCTGAATCGAACAGGGAAAAAATTGCTTTTCTGAATTTTCAATAACAACGGAAAAAAAACAGCTATCATTTAAAGCAAACTAGAAGTATGTATATAACTTATTCCTGTTAAATTAAAAAAAATAAATCACTCTAGGGAGCAAAATTTAATTTTTGCTTTTATACAACTTGACCTTACATAATTTAATTTGGGTATGGGGATTTCTAATCTGAAAGTAAGTTTGCTCAGAAAGCTACAGATTTTTTCAAAATGGTATTTTTAGCTTAGTTTGTTTTTTGTTTGAATGTACAAATTTATAGTGAGCGTACAGGTTTCTATACATACATATAATTTTGTCTGCTTCTTTGGAAATAACACTTACTACAAAAAACATATGACCGTATTTCAGTACAAACTGAAATGTATTACAGCCTATTTCCTATCACTTCCTACGTAGCAGAGAAGTGGGTGCACATAGCATTCAATCTTGTGATTTTTAAATAATCCTGGTTAGGAATATGTTACCAAATAGCATAAAAACTGTAACTCATAGAGAGAAAACCGATTGTTGATTTGGAATCAGCGTCGCGTAACTATCAAATTTTCATTCAGAAGTCTCCGTCAAAAATAAATAAATAAATAATATTTATATATTTATTATTAAATTGTAATAATCGCCTTATTTAACCCCTTTGGGACGGATGATTCAGAAAAGCGTTCGTACAAAATCAGGATCAGGACGTAATTAAATAAAAAACGGTAACTTAAATGTAGTCGTTTCTAATTTAATAGACTTACTTTGCTTTTACTTTAATTATTGTTAGTTTAATCATATATATAATCAATGTTAATTCAAAGTATAACTAAATAATTTTATTTTGAACAAAGTAATGGTGAATTAAATAAATCAAACAATTATAACTCCGCCCACAAATTACTTTGATTACCAGTTTTATCTTTTTACCCTGGTTGATACGGTTTCATACTGGCATGTATTTGTGTCAGTCGGTGCGAAAGGGTTAAAAGAACTTAATTTTTTTAAAAATAATCTTAACTTTTAAATACCACCTTATTTTAAAAATAAATATTATAAAGTAAATCAAACCGCATGTAGTATATTAATCATTATCAGACCTGCCAACTTTTAATCCCTTCCATTATCATTTTTCCCAGTGGTATTAAAATGGAATATAAAACTTCAATTTTATGCAAACAAATACGTTGTATTTGAAAAAAATTAAGTTGACAACCATGATAGTAACGCATATTAATATATAAGCTTAATTTTTGTAAGAATAGTGGTGATCAAAATCATTTAAAAATTGAATTTATATTGAAAATAGTATATATTAATTATATTGAAAATAGTATATATTTACTACCACTTTAAATATGAAAATAAAATCTCCCGCAAAATCCGGGAAAGTTGGCAGGTATGCATTATCAACCAGTGCATCCCTCAATTAAATAAAGTGTCGGCACCTGTTGACACGGTTTTAATAAATTATCTCAGAGTTCTCAGTAGTAACTCAATAATTTCGTAGTGATGTAACAGTTCAGTTTTGCACTATGTAGTAAAGAATCGGCGCGGTAGATAGGTTGATAATTCCACTGTGACAGTCATTTTAGTAATAATCATTTTGACCAAAATTCAGTGATGCCTACTTGCTCCGAGCAGTAATCCATCTAAGGAAATATCCGAAAATCTCTCAATTAAAAAAAATTGCAAGAAAAAAGAAACTGTATATGAATGAATGGATTTTGAACTTACTTTTTTAGTGCAAATGCAATGCAAAATAGAAAAAATAGTGTAGTTTTTATATTCTTTACTCTTCTACTTCTTCCTCCTCTGTTTCGACGGAAGTTCCACCACCTCCTACCAGGGCCATGATTGAAAAATTAACATTCTCAGGATCACGCTCCATGAATTTTTTACAAACTGCAACAGCATCCTACGAGTAAGAAAAAGAAATTTTTTTTTAAAAAAGAGTTATTTTATAAGAATCTTTTTTTAAATTTTTAAAAATCTTACGAACCTTGAATAAATTATTTTAAATTGATAGTTTACACTTTTAATACCCGGTTTTAAAAAGTGATCTATATATGAAAAATCCTTATGTGAGAAAAGGTGCAATACATGGAGCTTCCAACTTTTTACGATTTTGAGGAATATTTCGTCTTATGACAGCTAAGTTTATATTTTAATGTATGATTTTTTTGTTTTGAAAATTCAGTTTAAAGCAATTTTCCACATCACTATATGTAAATGTTGCAATATGAAATGCCACTTTGTTTCAGTGCTTTCATCCCCCCCTCCCTCAATAGATTACAACCAGATTCAATCTATTACGCACCTCTGCAATCTCTAGTATTTAGTTGTCAGTAGTCTCTGTTTAAATATTTTGCAAAAACAATAGTTGGCAGTTCTGAATGTATATTCGTTTATAAAAATTTAGCATTTCTTTCTGTTGCACGCCACTTCAGCTCCAGAAATTTAGAATTTTATTTTGAAGAGTGAATTTTATTTTAAGGAAGGAATTTTATTTTAAAGGAGGAATTTTTCATTCCAGAAAGAATTTTATTTTAAAGAAAACATTTTATTTTTTAAAGAAGGAAATTTATTTCAAAGAATTTTATTTTAAAGAAAGAATTTTATTTAAAAAAAAATAAAATTACTTTTAATGAAGGAATTTTATTTTTAAAAAAAGAATTTTACTTTTAAAGTGAGGTTCTATTTTATTAACCCTATGCCCTCCTAGTACTTTAATATACGATTTGAACTCGCATTAGCACTAAATTATTTGTAATTATAACGCATACTGGCTGGATTTGAACTTAACTTAATAAGTCATAAGTTAGTACAAATCTTTAGCTTTAAATTATTTTTTAAAATTTTTAAGATATAGTGGTATCTAATTATTAAAGTATAAAAATTTTTAATTTTAGAATGATGACTGTTGTCTCATCTAAGTATATCTCTACTAAGTTAGTATTATGCATCTCCACTATAGATTTTTTAGTCTCATTTTGTTTATTTATTTACGTCAATGTAATTGGATTTGTAAGCTAAATTTTTGTACAGGCCTTTTTTCTTTTTAGTAAGAATAACAACATTGTGTAATACGCTTTTTGTGTTTGGCTAATCAATGTTATTTTCAAACTGAGAGCTTACGCTCTATAAAAAATCGTAGTAAATAAAGAAAATGATATGCATTTTTATTATTTAGTTTATGCATTACAAAGTTATGCTTATAAATGAATATGGTCTGGTCTTTTCGGTGTAGATGGGCGCATACGGCCAAGAATGGCCGTTTTCCCATCTTGAAAGATTTGATTTTTTCCCTTTTCCCATTAAAAAAAGCTGTTTGCATGGCTGGAAACAAAAATGGCACTTAGCCATGGTATTAATTAGATAATAACATGAAAATACGCTTTTAATTATATACAATTAAAGAAGTAGAAATTTTTTACAAAATGTTACGAGATGAGAAAACAAGTTGATCGTAAACATTAGTTAAATTAAAAATCAAAATATTTACAAAATAATAAATTACAATTGAGCCAATCACTGAAATAGACAAATGAATATATTCAGTCTAAAAATGTAACTTATCGAATTTTTTAATTTTAAAGTGAAAACTAATAAAAAGAAATAAGTATTTTCTTTCTTAGAATAATAACATCATTTTTAAAATAAATAATATTAACGCTACGAACTTGGTTAAAAAATGAAAAAAAATTTATTGCCCATCTAAAACTGTGTAAAAGTGATAATAAAATAAACGAAAAGTTTAAATTTCGTTATTGTCATATGGAAAACTTACAAATTTTCGGTTTTCTTTTTATTTTAAGACATAAAGAGAACATTATATTTCACATCAATAGTGTAATAATTTAACCAAATTTCAAACGGAATGTTTGTTTTATTACTATCACACTTATGAAATCGAGACATGTAATTAAATCATATTGGACTCAGGCATATTTCTTGTACCTTAGACCGGCCATCGTGAGCAACGTTAGCAGTGGTTAGTAATTGTGACGTTGAGAAACATGCTAAATAGTAAATAACTATTATGGACACGATGAATGGGTAAAAGGCCATGTTTGCTCAGGTAACCAAGCTCCATTTGATAAGTGAAGTGAAGTTCGTTTTTTTGATTAAGCTGTAGTAAAATGTAAAAAGATGCTTATGTGTGTGGCGTAACTACCACTACGATTATTAAACATCAATTAACTAGTATATAATACATGATTCATTTGGTTAAAGGTACATTTTATTAAATGGCACGGTCAATAACAACATTTACCAACATTGCGTAATTGGGTTCTTGCTCTCCATCAAGAAGACAACCATTACCCACGCATATGGCCTATGACGTCAGCACCAGCTGAACTTTACCAGCAAAATGAAATATTAACGTTCAGCTTAATTTCTCTACATAAATTAAAATGTTAATAATTCAAAGCAATATATCACATCGAATTTGTTGAAATATAATTCTTTTCAGTCTGCTTTTTTTTTTATTTAACTTAGATTTATTGTTTGTTTATGTTTTTTATCGTAACCGTGATATATTTTTGTTTTGTATACCTGGCAACTTCGATGCAGAATAAGTTTGTTTATGTTCTACATGGCTTCGTGCCTGTCTTTGTGTAAATGTATAATGGTAGAATTGAAATTTTCGTGAAAGTATATAGGGTGTATTACTTAAGAGAATTGGTACTTGACAGGCTTGGGTTACTCGACATAGAATGGAATGAACTGTTGCTAACGTAAACAAATGCCACGTTTCTACAACCAATCAGGAGCGAGATACCCACACACTACGTTACTTGCAGGTATCTCATTGATATTTCAATTTACATTTTGCGACCACTTCAGAAAATTATTTTTTGGAACGAGCAAGAGTTGGCAGACATTGTATATATTCTGTTAACCATTTGCGAGAAGGAAAATTTAGTCAAAAAAAGTCATTAGAAATATGGACATTGTAGGCACGTCCGAAAGTAAACTATTTGTTTTATGTTGCTAATTTTCAAAATCTAAAATTGTTGATTTAAAATTGTGCTATTTAAGAGATAAAAATTAATACAAATTTAGAGGTTTATATAACTGTCACAAGCAAGTAAGACAATCTTTATCCAACAGCTCACGAAAGAATAAAAGAAAAAAAATTGATTTCAAAAAATAAACCAAAATCTTAGATATCACAACTTTGGTTAATCTGGAGTAATATATTTCGATATAATTGTCTGGTATTAATTTGAAGGGATTTTATTATTATCAATCAAATTAACTTTTATCTATCGTATAATACCTCTTACAGTACAACTTGACATGTTTTATATACTAACCAATTGGTATTTAATATTTGTAGTGGTAGTTATGCCACAAACTAATTAAAATTGTTTACTTTGTACACTTTCGAATTATCTTTGAAGCAAGAACAAGACTTCGGCAATTAATGTTTCCAGGATACAAGCAAACGTACTTAGAATATTAAATAAAATGTTACAATTAAAAAAAAAAATTTTTTTAACTACCTCTTAAAAACATTGTTGTTATCAGCGGACAATACATTTTGTTCCACCTAACTCTGTCACTGAATAAGAAACAGATCCTTTTGTTCTGCAGGAAAATAATTTTGTGAACTCTTCCACGGTTGTCAATCACGATTAGAAAACATGTCCAAAAAAGATTCCCGAAACGATGTTGGCAGACAATAAAAAAAAAAATTTATAATGGAGTAGGTTTAGATCCGTTTTAGTTATCACCTTGAAAGTGAAAGATCTCAACCACTCATTTTTGTACTTAGAGTGCTTCAATTATGTTATTGTTATTCTGAAAGTTACAGTTATTTTTATTTCTTTGAACTTGATCGCTTGAAAGCATACAAATAATGAAACGTGAGATGCGTATTTTAATCTCGATTTAAAATACAATTACAAGTTTTGAAAAAATGAGATTTTTCTGTACGCACAAGGAAAAAATTTACAAAAATTGGTAATTTAATTATATTAGAATTTAAAAAAAACTGCATTGAATTACTTTTCTAGAAATTATATCTAGATCCGAAATTCTTCATTTCGATTTTTAATTCTAAGTAATTTTCATCTACTTTTTAACAAAACTGAAACCACTTAAGATATTTTTCTTGGTGTGTTGAAATCTTATATTGGCTATAGGATACTTGCAAGTGGCGTAGTGACTTGCAAGTATCTCAAATCTCGATCCTGATTGGTTGTTGAAATGAGGCATTTGTTTACCTCAGCAACTGTTCCTTCCATTCTATTTCGAGTAAACCAAGCCCGTCAAGTATCAATTCACTTAAATCAGGGCTGTCCAACTGGCGGCCCGCCAACTTCTTATTCAAGCCGATCGGCCTCTGTTTTCCAATTAAAATGTAAGCAAATTGTTTTATAATCCTTCTGTTCTATTTATTCTGTTCTATCCTTCTATTCTATTCTGTTTTATAATTAATAATTCAACTATTAATTGTTATTGTATAAGAGGTTACTGTTCAACTTTTTCAAACTGCGGCCCGCCAGATGATCAGTGACCGGAATTCTGACCCGTGGGCTCTTTGCAGTTGGACAGCCCTGCATTAAATGATACATTCTATATTTCACTAAGATTTCAATTCTTTCACTATAGATTTTTCACTTAACACAATGACAGACAGGAAGCTATGTGTGAACATAAACAACACAAAACAATTATAAATAATGGTTACAATAAAACACATAAACAAATAATAAATCTAAGTTAAGTAAGAGACAGACGAAAAAAAATTCTATTTCAACAAATTTGATGTGCGATATATTTTCACTGTATTTAATTAACTTCACCTTAACTAACATGCCCCCGGAGGGGCCATCTATCAGAGTCACTTTAACTAACATTCTAATTCGTTTGGAGAAACTTAGCTCAATTTTATTACGCCATTTCTTATAAATGATCAGCTATCGCTGAAGTCTTAGGTCACATGCGTGGGTATCAGTGATCTTCTTCTTCTTGACCCAATTGTCTGAAAATTGTGCTGTTTTATACGTTGCATTAAACAACGCTGAAAAGGCAAAATATTGATTTGAAGCATTAATTTTTAAAAAAACAGGTGGTTTTGAGCATTTCAAATTTTTATGGTGTTAAAAAAATTAAAAATATTCTAAAATATAGTTCAGTTATATTAAATTAAATAAAAAAGATTGTCTAATTCATTTTGCTTTATTTTTCAACTAAGCATACAATTCCTTTATGTTTCTCCCTTAAAGCATACACTCCAACTTGTGGATTTCGCAAAATATTTTTTTCCAATGGTAGAGAACTAAAATAGAAATTTTATATTAACAGAATTTTTTAAAGCTTTTATCAAAACTTCTGTCTAAATTTGTACATCTGGTAGTTTATATATCCGTTCAAATTAATGTAAGGGCAGACAAAATTTTTATTTAAAAAAATATTGATACATTTCCAGAGAAAAAATATTTTCCGAAATTCCGCTGTATTTGGAGGGTATCTTAAAGAAAATGAGTTACCTTTAATAACGTGTCCATGCTTGTAGCTCCATGGTTGATTGGACAGTTTTTCCGAGCATCTGAAATTTAAAAAATATGAATAGAATGTTCTGAAAGGCTGAAATATATGCTTTAATCTATGTCTATTTAAATAATTTGGAAGAAAAAGTAATCTTCAGATTGCTAAAAGATTTTAATTAACAATTTAGAATTTAAAAATAATTGTGGAATTGGGTATAATATAAAAAAAACACAACTACTTCCACTTAGTAGGAATAACATTTACCATGACGCAATGCTAAATTCTATGCCACTATCCACATAAATGCCACTATCCACATAAATCAATTATTAATCAAAAATCGAATATCAATTACTTTTCTTTATAATGCAATAAAATCTGGCGAGCAGCTATTTAAACGATCAAACACTTCGTTTGTTTATTTGTGGCTTGAAGTTAGGCTCGCAGAAAATGCCGTTCATGGGTTAAATTTAGTAGGAATAACACAACCTGTGACGTAGGCTATAGTATACCCAATTGCTAAAAAAATGGAACAAAGTGATATTGAAAATACACATTTTTATGTCGAGTGAACTGAAAAGTTAAATTCTTACTAAGTACCGGTAGTACCATTTAAATATTTCAAAAAAATTTTTTTTGGAAATATTTAAGCTAATAACAAATTTTACTACTTGTTCTCTAATTCTAATTTAAATAATTGATTGGTAAAATTTTTTAAAATCATAATCCAACCGCGCAATTCAGATCGATATTATTTCAACTTAGATACTGGATGCAAAATATAAATTAAATTATAGTGAAATAAGAAAATTTGGGAGTGCTCTCTGAACACCACCCTAACCACCTAACCATCCCAACCAACCCTAACCACCTTCTGATCACCTAAACACCAACTCTAAACACTAAACAATAGATTAATTTTCTAAAACAGAAATGCGACAGTCATTGCTTTTTGTGATTAAAATTTTCGGTGAAATTAACATTCGATGTTTAGCGTAGGTTGAGTAAATATTGAACGCTTAGTACTTTTCAATTCAATATAACAAAAAGATTTTATTAATAGAAATATGTGATTTAATAACAGAAAATATTGAACTTTTAAAATTAAGTCCTATTAGAGTATTAGTATCACGCTGTTTTATTTGTGAAACGAGAATTTTTTAAACTGTCATCGGTGCTGCCATCTACTGATTAAAAGTAGTATATAGAATTGCTTAAGCATTAAAGTGTGGAATCGTGCATCTAAACAAATGCATAAATGGAATGTATAGTAAATAAACAATTTCTTTCAGTTGTCCTTATTTCTACTTTAAAGGGGGAAAAAAGAAATATGAATTACATTTTATAAAGCAGGGCTTAACTCTTAATCTAAAATGGTTTAATTTTCAATAGAAGTTAATTCTTGTTATCTAACAAGTTTCTTTATCTTTTTTTTCGCAATTTTTTAACATTCATATTCTTAATATTTAATTTAAATATACGTTGAATGTTAATAAATAGTTCAAATGAGAGGGGGAAAAAAAGCTGCATTTGAAGACGTTGCAAAGAATTTCGATTTGTAATGCTGCTATCTAGTGTTGAGAAAGAGAACTATATTTATAAAACATTGTACTATTTAGTTTTCTGAATTGTCACTAAATGATGGAACTGATTATATTATCTAGAAGAAAGTGTCATGCTTTCTCCTTCTACAGTTTATACAACTTCAGTCAGACAATAGTTTTAGCTTATTATTGTTATTTATCTGAAAATAACAATAATTTATGGAACAAAAAGTCAATTTTAATGTGTGTTTTTAAAGCAATGCAAATACTTTTCTTACCGAGTTCATACAACTGCTCATCTACGGAAACAAATGTTATGAAATGCAGATTAATTTCCTCGTCCCCTTCTGGTGCCTATAAAAAATAAATTACTATACATTAATATACTTCATATATTAAATATGTTATTATCTTTTAACACATTATTGCCCTACAGAGCTAATATTTTTCAAAAAATAATTTTAGCGTTATTTCTATTACATTTGAAGGAAAAAATTAGTTATAAAAAGGGTTCACATCAATAATGAAAATTTAGTGGTCCAAAATCTGAATATTGTAGACTAACTTGAGATAAAAAAACGAATTTTAAAATTGCTTAATTAATGTCATAGTACACATCAAAAATTAGTAATTGCCATCTATTACACCCTGAAGCTAATTATGTCCATTACCGCATTAAGATTCGTATTTTTTTAAATTTAATGTAAACAAAACTAAAATAATATTAGTAATCGGATTCAACATATAGATTAAAATGCTTAAGGGGAATGAATAAATAAATGAAGAAACCAGAGAATGTAAGAAGTTACAAAATTTTGTATTAAAAAATAATTATCTAAAAATTCTAAAAGAGTAAAAAACAATGTTTTATTGAACAATTATACTGTCAGTCCATAAATACAAAGCACAGTACAACATGTTAATTAGAAATATCAAAATTTAAATTAAAGATTTTTTGTATCAGACACTTTCAATTATTCCGTTTGAAAAACTTTAAAACTAAAATCTAACCTACGCGTAGAAAAATAAAAACAACAATTAATTTTAAGTGCATAACATTCGATGCAAAAAATATATTTTTCGTTACTATTTTGTTATTTCAAAACTCATTTCGAGACGACAATTTTGTCTCCTACGCGTCTGATTTTAGCAACAATTGTCGCCATGCTGGCGTGAGCCTTAGTTAATAGAATGCGTAGCTTTTAATCTGCATCGTGTTGGAAAAGATTTTACGAAGTGGCTGCCCAATAATAAAGTGAGAAGAATTTTGTAAACATTAAGCTACCTCGTCTCATCTTAGAAACTCAGTTGCTTAACTAATAGATTTGACATGCATAATAGGAATTTTTTATTTTGTTCTGGTGTTTAGAACGTTCATTTTTTAACTTTAAAAATAAGGGTTTAGCTTTTAATACATTAAAATTTAAACGTTACACATACATATTCCTTTTTACTTTGAATTGAAGCATTGGGCTTCTATCACACCTTTCCCTCTGACTCTATTTGTGGCCAGTTATTTTGCCTCATGTCTTTCCCATTGTTTTCAATTCGTTTACAATCGTCCTGCGACAAGTACTTTTTAGGTCTTCCTCTTTTTCTATTGCCCTGAGGGCTCCAATCAAAAACTTGTTTTACTTTAAATTTTTCAGGTTTACGTAGAACATGATCAATCCATTTCCATTAAAGTTTTAATTTCCTGATCAATTGGTTTCTGTTTTGCTTTTCTACGGATTTCTGAATTCCAAATTTTATGGAACTACTTGATACTCAAGATTCTTCTTAGACAGTAAATACTTGAAGTTTTTCATGTCATTTTTATTGCAGTGGCAAGTCTCAGATCCATAGAGTAGGACAGATTCGATATTGAAAAGTCGAATTTTTGTTGAATTTGTTATGTTTTTGTTTTTTTCAGAATTTATTGAGAATAGTATAACAGTTCGGGCTTTTTAATCTATTTAATATATTTTCATCGGTTCCTCCTTTGCTGTTAATTATACTTCCAAGATGCGTAAAACTACTTACTTCCTCTTGTTTATTATTTTTTTAGAATGTTATTTTATTGTTCAGGATTAATTTTCAAAAATTTTAGTTTTATTTAAATTTAAACGTTACTGGCACTAAAAAGAAAAGAAAAACCACTATCGCAACAATCACACAAGTTGGCAGCTACGGTAATAATATTTAAGTGAATGTTGTACCGTATGGAGTTCGTGCGGTTTTCATTTTTATTTTAGTGCTATGTGCCTTCAAAAATGTGCTTTTTATAAAATTTTAAAGCGTAAATTTCTGCATAGATTCGTTCTGAGTTTATTTGTGTTCAATGATGAAGATACCAATGTGGAAAGTGTTTTCGTTAAGCTCGCGAAAACTTAAATGATGCAGAGAAAGAAGATAGATTCTTCACGTGTGAATTTCGTACATAGTAACTGAATTTGTTTGAAATAATAAAAATGTCTGGTATTTTTTCTATAAAACTGTAAGTACCATTTCTAAACTTCTTATAGAATTTACATATACCTACTCCACTAAAATTGGGTGTTACGCCTTTTTCTAGGAAAAAAAAATCACGCATGAAAAATACAGAGTAATGATAACTTTTTCAAGAATTACACAACTAAACATAAATATCTTGTTTAAATCTGACAATTTCTAGGTCGAACAGTTTAGATCCAACCGGGCTTCGAATCTTAGCTACTCGATCTTACCCCAATTCCCCATGCATTTAGTTAGAGCAATTATTAACTTTTGTTAATTGCAAATATAGTAAAGTACAAACATAAAGTTAAATTTAATATTATTGTAACTTCTTAATTTTTTACAGACGTATAACCCAGTTTGCGTAACTCGCAAAATCGCTGCTTTAATTGAGCACGCAAGCTTGCAAATGGTTTTCGTACTATTAAACAATAAACAATCGCAAATTAATTTTAGAGCTACTTCTTTATTAATTTGGATTTTCTAATCGATGCATTAATTTTTATATTTTGTGAAATGTTCGTTAACTCACCTCGGTTTGACCTTCTTTGGCAAGGGACTCGTGCATGACACATAGACTCTAGGAAAGAAGAAAAAAGTTAAAATTTGTGTGGATGTGTATATGTTACTGTGTATGACCGAAATCGGTGGTTGTTGACTTTCACCGGTGAATGTTGACAATCACATAGTCGCTTTGGTGAATGTCCGAAATATTTATTACATCTGATTACATCACTAGACCTAGTATATAATTCGGACATTTACCAAAGGTCTATTCATATTAGGTCTAGTTAAGCGCCATTGCCCGGTATATCCTACACTGATATTTTTTTTAAGATCAAGTGTCACTGCCCAGTATACCCTACAATGATGTTTTCTTAAGGTCAAGCGCCATTGCCCGGTATACATTTGCCCGATACTCCAAACTCTGGTGTTGTCAGTAAGTATTAAAATATCGAATAAATGTAATTATATCCACGAATAAATTAATATCAAATCGGAAGTAATAAATATTTCGGACATTCACCTAAGCGACTATGTGATTGTCAACATTCACCGGTGAAAGTCAACAACCACCGATTTCGATCATTCACAGTAACATGAACATCATTTACATANGGTGCCTATAAAAAATAAATTACTATACATTAATATACTTCATATATTAAATATGTTATTATCTTTTAACACATTATTGCCCTACAGAGCTAATATTTTTCAAAAAATAATTTTAGCGTTATTTCTATTACATTTGAAGGAAAAAATTAGTTATAAAAAGGGTTCACATCAATAATGAAAATTTAGTGGTCCAAAATCTGAATATTGTAGACTAACTTGAGATAAAAAAACGAATTTTAAAATTGCTTAATTAATGTCATAGTACACATCAAAAATTAGTAATTGCCATCTATTACACCCTGAAGCTAATTATGTCCATTACCGCATTAAGATTCGTATTTTTTTAAATTTAATGTAAACAAAACTAAAATAATATTAGTAATCGGATTCAACATATAGATTAAAATGCTTAAGGGGAATGAATAAATAAATGAAGAAACCAGAGAATGTGAGAAGTTACAAAATTTTGTATTAAAAAATAATTATCTAAAAATTCTAAAAGAGTAAAAAACAATGTTTTATTGAACAATTATACTGTCAGTCCATAAATACAAAGCACAGTACAACATGTTAATTAGAAATATCAAAATTTAAATTAAAGATTTTTTGTATCAGACACTTTCAATTATTCCGTTTGAAAAACTTTAAAACTAAAATCTAACCTACGCGTAGAAAAATAAAAACAACAATTAATTTTAAGTGCATAACATTCGATGCAAAAAATATATTTTTCGTTACTATTTTGTTATTTCAAAACTCATTTCGAGACGACAATTTTGTCTCCTACGCGTCTGATTTTAGCAACAATTGTCGCCATGCTGGCGTGAGCCTTAGTTATAAGAATGCGTATCTTTTAATCTGCATCGTGTTGGAAAATATTTTACGAAGTGGCTGCCCAATAATAAAGTGAGAAGAATTTTGTAAACATTAAGCTACCTCGTCTCATCTTAGAAACTCAGTTGCTTAACCAATAGATTTGACATGCATAATAGGAATTTTTTATTTTGTTCTGGTGTTTAGAACGTTCATTTTTTAACTTTAAAAATAAGGGTTTAGCTTTTAATACATTAAAATTTAAACGTTACACATACATATTCCTTTTTACTTTGAATTGAAGCATTGGGCTATCACACCTTTCCATCTGACTCTATTTGTGGCTAGTTATTTTGCCTTCATGTCTTTCCCATTGTTTTCAATTCACTTGCAATCGTCCTGCTCCAAGTATTTTTAGGTCTCCCTCTTTTTCTATTGCCTTGAGCGCTCCAATCAAAAACTTATTCTACTTTAAATCTTTCAGGTTTACATAGAACATGACCAATCCATTTCTATTTTTTGATTTCCAGATCAATCGGTTTCTGTTTTGCTTTTCTAAGGATTTCTGCATTACAAATTTTATGGAACCACTTGATACACAAGATTCAAAAGTAGTTGTTAATAAATACTTGAAGTTTTTGATGTTACTTTTATTGCAGTGACAAGTCTCAGATCCATAGAGTAGAATAGATTTAATTATACTTCCAAGATACGTAAAACTATTTACTTCCTCTTGTTTATTATTTTTTTTTAGAATGTCATTTTATTGTTTAGGATTAATTTTCAAAATTTTAGTTTTATTTAAAATTAAACGTTACTGCCACTAAAATAAAAACACGAGTTGGCAGCTATGGCAATAAGTTTTATTGTTAAGTGAGTGTTTTATCTCATGGAGTTCGTGCGATTTTCGTTTTTTATTTTAGTGCATTGTGTCTTCAAAATCGTGCTTTTTTTCTTCTTTTTTTAATTTTTTTTTTAAAAACTTTAATGCGTAAATTTCTGCATAAATTTGTTCTGAGTTAATTTGTGTTCAATGGCGCGGATACCAATGTGGAAAGTGTTTTTGTCAAGCCCACGAAAGCTGAAATGATGCAGAAGATAGATTCTTCACATGTGAATTTCGTACATTGTAACTGAAATTGATTGAGATAATAAAAATGTCTGGTACTTTTTCAATAAAACTCCAAGTACCATTTCTAAACTTCTTATAGAATTTAGATATACCTACCCCACTAAAATTAGATGAGATGCCTTTTTTTCAGGAAAAAAAAATCACGTATGAAAAATGCAGAATAATGATAACTTTTTCAAGAATTATATATTGTACACAATTAAACATAAATATCTTGATTAAATCTGACAATTTCTGGGTCGAACAGTTTAGATCCAACCGAATCTTAGCTACTCGGTCTTACTCCAATTCCCCATGCATTTATTTAGAGCAAATTACTAACTTTTGTTAGTTCCAAATATAATAAAGTACAAACATAAAGTTAAACTTAATATTACTGCAACTTCTTAATTTTTTTACTGACGAATAACCCAGTTTGCGCAACTTAAAAAAAATCGCAGCTTTAATTGAGCGCACAAGTCTACAAATGTATGTTGTACCACTGAACAACAAACAATCGCAAATTTATTTTAGAGCTACTTCTTTATTAATTTGGAGTTTCTAATCGGTGCATTAATTTTTATATTTTGTGAAATGCTCGTTAACTCACCTCGGTTTGACCTTCTTTGGCAAGGGACTCGTGCATGACACATAGACTCTAGGAAAGAAGAAAAAAGTTAAAATTTGTGCGGATGTGTATATGTTACTGTGATTGACCGAAATCGGTGGTTGTTGACTTTCACCGGTGAATGTTGACAATCGCATAGTCGCTTTGGTGAATGTCCGAAATATTTATTACATCTTATTACATCACTAGACCTAGTATATAATCCAAAGGTCTAATCATATTAGGTCTAGTTAAGTGCCATTGCCCGGTATACATTTGTCCGGTATATCCTACACTGATATTTTTTTAAGATCAAGTGTCACTGCCCAGTATACCCTACAATGATGTTTTTTTAAGGTGAAGTGCCATTGCCCGGTATACATTTGCCCGATACTCCAAACTCTGGTGTTTCTTTTAATCTATCGTCAGTAAGTATTAAAATATCGAATAAATGTAATTATATCCACGAATAAATTAATATCAAATCGGAAGTAATAAATATTTCGGACATTCACCAAAGCGACTATGTGATTGTCAACATTCACCGGTGAAAGTCAACAACCACCGATTTCGGTCATCCACAGTAACATGAACATCATTTACATAGTAACCTCATCAGGACGTTTATTTCATACTTTGCCCAAATAGCATTTGGCATTCTATAGATTACCTAGGCATTTTATACAATGCCTAGGGAAAGTATGTAATACTTCTCACATTTCATACTTCGCCTAAAAGCATCCGGCATTCTATACAATGCCGGCGTTTCTTACTTTGCCGGTAACATATATATAAATGTTTTTCGGATTTAAATAATCAGGGAAGCCACAGGCGACGAAAAATGTGAAAAGTGGTAGAAACTTAATTAACTTTTATTTATTTTTCATACTTTTAATTATTTAATCATAACTACCACTATGACTTATTATTCAAATTAATCATATTTAAAATAAAACATTCTTGTTTTAAATTTAGAATATTTGTAATAAATATGTAATAAAATAGTCAATTAACTTTTCGCATCTTTGGTCGCATGAGAGAACCCTAGTATAATAGATAGAGTAAAACTCTTGCGATACTTTCAGTATTAAGAAATTTATTCAGAGAGGACCACTTATATCATCACTATGTCAACTTCCGTCGACTGTTTTTAATTCCAGAACCAGGACCACACACCTTCCACTAATTAACAAGATTTAGTTAATATAGAAGAAATATTTTAAATAAAAAAAGTGGTACTTTAATATTCATAATTATTTCTAAAAATTAATTTTTCGTTAATGTTTTTTGAAAGTACTGTATTTTTTAATCCGAATTCTTTTTTCTTTATTTATAAAAAATTGGGCAGCGCAGAAGGCCCATATTTGCAAATTCTTGGAATAAGATAGCGTTTTAGCCAAGAAATTCTTTGATATGCCTCAGATCACATTAAAATAAAATTTTAATTCAGGGTAACAAATACTCTAGTCCATAGTTAGGAAACATGTGACCTCCTTGATTTTATTGAGTTGCATTCAACACATTCATTATATAGATTACGGCAATTTAAAAATTTATATAGTTGAATAATATATAACTTCGTTCTTTCATAAACTTATAACATATAAACGTATTATATTCTGATATGACACCATAAACTCGGGTATCTAGTATTAATTTTGTTGAACTGTCTTTAGATATAATTTAAGTGGTGTTTAATAATTAGTTATACGTTAAGTATTTATTTAGATTAATTTTGATAGGTTGTCATAAGTTAAAATTTAAGTAGAGTTAAATAATTAGTTAAAAGTTAAGTATTTATTTAGATTCATTTTGTTAGGTTGTCTTAAGTGATAATTTGAATAGTGATGAATAATTAGTTATATGTTAAGGATTTATTTAGATTCATTTTTCAGGTTGTCTTAAATGATCATTTAAGTAGTATTAAATAATTAGTTAAACATTAAATATTTATTTAGATTCATTTTTATAGGATGTCTTAAATTAAAATTCAAGTAGTTTTAAATAATTAGTTAAACGTTAAGTATTTATTCAGATTCATTTTGTTAGGTTGTCTTAAGTGATAATTTGAGTAGTGATGAATAATTAGTTATATCTTAAGGATTTATTTAGATTCATTTTTCAGGTTGTCTTAAGTGATAATTTAAGCAGTATTAAATAATTAGTTAAACATTGAATATTTATTCACATTCATTTTGATAGGTTGTTTTAAGTGAAAATTTAAGTAGTGTTAAATAATTAGTTAAACGTTAAGTATTTATTTAGATTCTAGGCAACTTATCAAAATGAATCTAATATGTTTTAACATTAGATTCAATAATATTATATAATTTATTAGATAACGAAATGGATCCAAATAATTTATGGAAGACTATCTATCGAAATGGATCTAAGTATTTATTTAGATTCATTTCGATAGATAGTCTTCAGTGATAATTTAAGTAGTGTTAAACAATTAGTTAAACGTTTAGGATTTATTTAGATTCATTTTTAGGTAGTCTTATTTGATAATTGAAGTTGTGTTAAATAATTAGTTAAATTTTAAATATTTATTTAGATTTATTTTACTAGATTGCGCTAAGAGAGATTAAGTAGTGTTAAATAGTTAGCAATAAGTTAAGTGTTTATTTAGAATATTTAGATTCATTTTGATAGGTTGTCTTAAGTGAAAATTTAAGAAGTATTAAATAACTAGTTAAACATTGAATATTTATATAGATTCCTTTTTTTAGGTTGCCTAGTGGATAATTTAAGTAGTGTTAAATAATTAGTTAAACATTAAATATTTATTTAGATTCATTTTGATAGGTTGTCTTAAGTCAAAATTTAAGTAGTGTTAAATAAATAATTAAACATTAAGTATTTATTTAGATTCATTTTGATAGACTGTCCTAAGCGATAATTTAAGTAATGTTAAATAGTTAGCAATAAGTTAAGTATTTATTTAGAATATTTTAATTTATATAATACATGTATTTATTTAGAATAATTTATATAATATAAATAGTTATTTAAAATAATTAAACAATATTATTGAACATAAATAGTTAGCAATAAGTTAAGCATTAATTTAGAATTTATTTGGAATAACTTTGTATTTTTACAGAAATAAAAAATAGTTACCAAGTAATTGTCTAAATTTCTTTATTTTATTTAACTTATTGAGATTATTTAACTTTTTATTGCTATCTAAATTGACTGTTAAAAATTTTAAGCATAAATGGTGCTGTGGGGCCGCAGAAAGCCATTTCAATTATTGATGGTGGAGCTTGCCCTTTTCAAGCTATAGCTTATACAGGGTGGTCCTAAAATATATGTCAAAAATGTAAAGGTAGGTAGAGGGGACATAAATAAGCATATTTCGAATAGGAATGCGTGTGCGTTAATGGCACGTTAAAGCACTAGTACGTAAAGCAGTATGAATCAGAGGAAACTGAAAAGACAAGTAAAAACAAAAGAAAATAAAAATTTATCAACAGTTTACAAGAGGTGCTTGAAAGAAAAGCCACCAACATCGATACAAGATTCACAGCGACGGCGCATGGATCGGCGTACATTAGAAAAGACGTTAGGCATGTCGAGCACATGCAAAGCAGCAATAGACAAGCGAGCAACAAGATCTTCTTGATGGGACTCTCGTACACCAGGCTTTTAATATGACCCCAAAAGAAAAAATCCAAGCAGGTTAAATCAGGAGAACGTGGTGGCCAGGGAACTGGACCACCCAGTCCAATCCAATGCTGGCCGTAGACAGTGTGCAGTTGATTTCTGACGCTCCCTGTACATCCTCTGAGCAGCTAATTCATTTCCTTGTGCAGCCTCATACATGAAATGCACGTCGGCAAGCTCCAGATTGGTGAAACGATGCATGCTGTTTGAGATCAGTGCGGGAATCTAGCTAGCAAGCGCTTTTATACGCCACAGTCATCAGCGCTCCCTACCGGCTTAAGGCGGTATTACCGCACACACAATCCTATACGAAATATGCTTATTTAAGTCCCCTCTACCTACCTTGACATTTTTGACACATATTTTAGGACCACCCTGTATATGTCATACGGTACTCAAGCCATGTCACGATAGAGAGGTGCGTGAGAAAGTAGTACAGCATGTAAGATTTTTAAATTATAACTAAAATTAGTACATAAAGAGTTTGACGATATCGCAGACATCCCTTAAAAATTGTTAAAAATGAAACAAGGTTTCTGCGGTCCTTGAAAATTTTTAGTAGTGGTAGTAAATTTAGGTTAATTTTCTTGCGTAAATACTTTCTTTGGAAAACAATTTTAGTGGAAGTTACACAAAAATCAAATAATCGACATTTGTTTAATTTTCGTTACCACTTTTTAAAATTTAGAAGACCCGCGGGTACTCTGTGAAATCAAGGTACTTCCGCGTGAGCAAAGCCACGGGCAACAGCTAGACTGCGAAAAAATTTGGTTAATATATTGTTTAACCCTATGCACTCAGAGTACTTGGTGATAATTCCATGCAAAAAATAAATATTAGTAAATATTTATTGTTTTTTAATTCCTTTATTTAAAAACAATCGAAGCATTTTTAAATTGTGAGTTGTACAATTTTCACATCATTTTAAAGTACGTAATTTTAAATGGCAAAATACAAAATTTGAGCGAAATTGGTCGAATAGTTCCTGAGAAATCAAATTTTAAAAAAGTCGTATATTAAAAATCTCTTCAAAATTTAAAGACGCAAAAAATAAAGGTAACATAAAGGGGTTCAAACTTTGGACCGCTCTCCTGGCCAAACTATTAGGACCATATTTCCCAAATTGCGGTTATCCTATATATTTTGGAGATCAAAAATCCGAATCTGTTCAAAAAAAGTTAGGTTTACTCACATTTGTGTCTGATTTCGTAACTTGAAATATTGTCTGCACTAATTAATTAGAATATTTGAGGTTACCCCCTCAAACCATTGAGTCTTAGCTCGTGAAACTCCAATCATTAGATCAAAAATTATTGAGGATTGTCCATTTTTTATTTTGCACATTGTACTACAAAATTTTGAAAGGTGACCAAGCTGGTCGCCAAAGGCGGCTAGTAATTATATATTACATACAAAAAAAATTTTTTTTGTAGAAAATATTGAAATTAGGAAGAAAAAAAAAACAATGATTGTGAAGCAATCGCCGAGGATTGGTGAGTGGAGATAATACGGAACGGAGCCTTCAAGTCATAAAAAAATAATAAATTATGAGATTTTTTTCCCCTTTACACAATAATAACAATAATAATACGTGGGAAGAATAATTTGAAATGAAAGAAAAAAGCATGTTTATCACATCCATTTCTAATTCGACTGAGTTAACATTAAAGTTTATAAGTTGTTCAAGAAAATTTTGAAAGTTCACCAAACTGGTCGCCAAGGGCGGCTAGTAATTATATACTATATTCAAAAAGCGTTTTTTGCTTTATGTAAAATATTGATATTAGGAAAAAAATGATGATTGTGTAGCAATCGCAGAGGATTGGTGAGTGGAGTAAATAAAGATGAGAGCCTCCAAGTCATAAAAAAAATAATGAATTATAAGCTTATTTTCTACTTTATACAATAATAATAATGATATGGGCGAAAAGTAATGTGAAATGAAAGAAAAATGCATGTTCATCACCTCGTCCATTTCTAATTCTTGACCTCTCTCCTCAGGCGCCATATCCTTCGTTCGTTCCAGGAATTCTTTTAAACTAGAATCTTCACCTGGAAAAAAAGTTTGGATTCTTCAAAATTTGTCAATAAAATCCTTTGATGTACGGATTAATTGTATAGTTAGTGCTTTATTCATGTTGCACTGGAAGTACATATACAAAATTTAAACCCACATGAGTAAAGGGTATAGAATCATGTGACATTTTTCATTAAAAATGAAATCACAAACACAATGGACGACCAATATTTTCAGCTAGCCGACCGGCCTGTGTAGGGGGCAGGGAACTGTCCTTTCATCAGAAAGGTTTTGGGTTCGAATCCCAGGCAAGGCATGGATGTACTTTCCTTCTTTGTATTATCTGTCCTCACTGTGGGAGCGACGTTGGCCCACCTAATATGGTGCCCCTGAAAGAGAGGCCAACAAAATCGCCCTGTATATGCCTGAATTGACGGATGTTAATACAGGTGGGCATTGGAAAAAAAAATATTATTTTCAGCTGGAAACTAAACAATAACAAAGATATGTTTTATTTTTTGGAGTTAGGATTTTGTTTGAGTTTTAATAACTGACTCCCTACTTGTAAAATTAATGCTCCTCCCTAAAATATAAAGCATTATTTTAAAGTAATTAGTTATTATTTAATAATTCATCTAAAATGTTTATGTCCATAAAATATTAATTCTACTGCTTGATATTTTGCGTCGCTCAGTGTTAAACGCAAAGCGACACCATCGACTTAAATTAAAAATCAGTAGGTTATATATATAAATTAAAATTATTTAAATATAGTGGTAGATAAAATCCTTTTAAATTACTTTTATTTAAATAGAAATATGAGTAAATTCATAAATTTTGCTACCACATTAAATATAAAGATTAGATCTTCCACAAAAACTGAAATTATTGTAACAAACAAGGACCATTTACTTGATGAAGTCTCTTTCCTCTCTTCTTTGTTCAGAAAACTCAATATCCAATTTTTACATTAAAGAAACAAACGTAGTAGCAAATATCTGAAATACTATATAGTTAAATTATTTTTTTTTTCAACCGCTAGAAATGAATATTTTCATAAAAAATGACTCAGTTGATCTAGATTTTTTTTTTGACTGTCTATCCGTATCAGATGCATTCTTTTATGATTCGCTCATCTTTCCGTTTAGTACTTTGCAAGTCGAAGATTAATGAATCAATGGACGGTTATCCGCAAAAACCGGACACTCTAATGGACATTCAGAGGTTCTTTTACTAAGACTAATGGACAAATATAGGTTATACTGTCATCATCTATTTTTATTAATGCAGTTTTAGTGACAATATCTCATTATGTACTGCTATTATTATAATTTTTTTTTAAATTATACCAGTAATATTTATTTAACGGATTTTTTACTTATAATAATGCGTGCGAAATAATTGTTTTTTTAAAAATAAGCGTTTAAATGCCGGGTTCTTATTTTGCAATTGGGAAAATTGTCTTAATTAAAACTGTAATAGCAAGTTCGCATAAAAAAGTAAATGAAATTTTCCCTCGATTAGCAACTAGTTTGGATACAAAACATTGCTAGTTGATAATAGAACAAGATATATAATAGCTATATTCAATGGTGGATATGAAAATATACTAAAAGTAACGCTCTAATATTAAACATTAGAATTATCTGCTTTCAACACTTCCAACAAGAGAAATGTTCCATTAGAGTGGAACATTGTCATTTAAACGATTAAAGATCAAAATAACTATTCTTTCCTACAGATGTAGCTTCAAAATATATGTTGAACTTTAAAAATATAAAATAGTGGTTGATTTAAAAAAGATATTAACTGCTTCGCTTTTTGTTGACACGTTGAATGCCATGGGGGTCACCGGTGACAGGCACTGGGTTTGTTCGTAGCGCCTTTGGGTGAAGCCAACGTTATTAGAAATCCATAATTCGAATAAATTTTTAATTTTCTAATATTATTATAGTTACTAAAATGGTTCGAAAAAATTAATTCAATATGGAATACCAAGAAAATAGTTTTATTTATATACACAGAGATGCTAACTTGCTCCGGAGAGCCAATAAATATTTTCAAGTGGTAGATTATTAATTATAATTCTTGGTTTAATAAATTCAATTTAGTAGATTTTTATCCACCGCTATTTTTAAACAATTCACAGCTTATATAATTCACCACTTTTTTTTTCCAGATAAGCATGCAGAATCCGGGCCATGGGGACCAGCTCAAGCCTTGCTGGAGACAAGACTTGTTTTTCTCTGCTCTGCAATTATGCCGTATCACCGAACTGCCCGCGGCGGAAAGGTTTTCCCTTCCGGCCGCATGCCAACATCAGACTTAGATGAGACATCTTTGATCGACAAAAGATTTTTACCGGCCAGATCTATGAACTACGCATTTTACTCACAATTTCTTCTAGAACAAACTACTGATATCGTGGAACTTCGTAAGCTGCGAGATTTCAAACTCAACACTAAGTAGATATTACAATGAACTCTTTAACGCAGCGGCGTCCTCAATTCAAACTGTTGAGTCGAGTCAAAAGAAGTCAACTGCCTCAACTACAATGGAGACAACCATCATTGAGACAGCGGAAATCCCTGTGACCATCCCAGAAAGTAGTGTTACTAACGAAATAGAGACTGAGCCCGTTTCCGAGCACAGTGTTCCGAATAATATCACAACTCCTTCCAATAAAGATCTGAATATGGATATAGACGAAGAGACATCAGCCTCTGAACTTGAGATCCAAAATAGAAACAACAAAGAGCCACCAGCTAAAAAGAGAAAGAAGAAGAAAAAGTCTGCCGCAGCTACAGAAAATGTTGACCCATCCATGACCCAGAAAAGCTGCACTCCTTTGGAATCTCTTTTCATGCCGGAGCCCACCCCTATTACTGCATCAGAACCTACGGAGGAGACTATCAACAAAGCCACAGAGCCTTCCACTTCAGTAGAAAAAGCTCAGCCAGTTAAAAATGCTCAAGTCCTCATCCGTGGCCTTCCTGATGATTTTAGTACAGATGAAATATCCCTTGAATTAGGGAAGCGGAACATTGAAATCCTGAAAATAGTCCAGTCTAAGAAGAAAGTGGGTGAAGCCTTTAGGCCCCTCCCCCTGTACCTCATCGTTATGCCAATGTTAGCCAATCACGAGATGATCTACCATATTGAGAGCATCAAGCAGATCCCGATCAGCATAGAGAAATACCACGGCGGCCGGCGGCCGCTGCAGTGTTTTCGATGTCAGAGTTTCGGTCACACCCAACGCTCCTGCTCCTCCAGCCCAAGATGCATGAAATGTGCTGAAGGGCACTATTCATTCCAGTGCAGAAAGAGCCGAGACTCCCCAGCTAAATGCTGCAACTGCATGCAAAACCACACCTCAAATTTCACTGGGTGCGAGGCCCGCCCCAGTCGAAAGAGGAACACGATCAAGGACACGGCTACTTTTAGAGCCCACAGACTTGTTAGCCTCATCAGTGAACTTAAAGACTTGCTGAAGGACCAAGACGTACTGCATCTTCTCACAACTTTAATCCAGGGGAATTCCCCATACAACTGATGTACTACTGAATCAACTCATGCCTCACCTCATCATGGACTTATTATCTGATCCTAACTTAGAACTTTGAACTGTATATGACCTCTGGACTAAATGCCAAAACAGTATAGATGAATCGGTTAGAAGCGCTTCGCGCTTAACGCCGAGATTCCACACATATCAATCAATCAATCAATCAGATAAGCATGCAAAGCCTTTTAAAAATCTAGCACAATCTGTCTAAAATTGCTAACTTAGTTAGTAGTTTTAGCCATGTGTTAAAATTTTAATGAATTGGTTGCGAATGGAATAATAGAACTTGTGTAATAAGGATAATTACGCTTTCATTATAAAAGTACCAGCAATAAAGTTGTTTGAATTTTTGATAGGCAGTGATGGAAAAAATTGCTTGAAATGAAAAGTACTAAACTAAAAATAACTTAGATTTTGTTAATACTAGGAAAAAAATTTTTTTTTTTTACAAATCGGAGCAAGTTGGCATCTCTGCATTAAGATTTACTTAAAAATAATGTTAGAAACTGTGCAAGCTTCAAGCTGTGTTGCAGAAAATTATGGCAACAGTACGAAGTCATTAAATTTTGTCTCTTTATTTACTGAACTATTAACTTATTAATTTATTGCTACACACGCCTATGCAGATTTAAATGCTCATCATAAAGTATGGCTTTTAAACCCTTTATTAATTAAAAAAACGCTTAAAAATAAAAGTCGTTAAATTTTTTTAAAAACTTGTACGCGTTTCGTTGCCATAGTGGTATACCTTTATCAGTGGGGATGCCAACTGTTTCGCTTACTACAAAAGTTTTATTAGAGTGGTAGCGAATTAAGTACTAAAATTTGCAGAATAAGGTTAATTACCTTCATTTTTTTAAAGGTGTCACTACGGCATAACTCTCATAAAGTTGCATTTCGTATGAAACTTAGAATTCGTGCTATGTAGTGTGGGGGGGGGGATAACTTCAAATGAAAATTACTAAACTAAAAATATCTAAAATTTCGTTACCACTAGAAAAAATATTTTTAACTGGTAGAACCAGTTAGCTTCTTTGTAACAGCAGGACAAAGTGCATGGGTGGCAAAACAGAGATGTGATTCGAGGGGGGTCACGACAAAAATAAATAAATAAATAAAATTAAAAAAAACTTAATGATTTCCGAATATTTAAAAAATATGGTTTAGCAGTGCTATATAATACTTTTTGAAAATGTTGGAATGGCTTAGATTGCGAAATGGAAAGACAGTCAGACTTCCATTTAACGAACTTCCATTTTTCGAATTTTTCTATTTTGCTAATTTTTTCGAGGGACTAAGAACATTTTGGAAATTTCTTCGTAAAATAACTTCCAAATAGCAAAGTGAATTTTCCATTTAACGAACTTTTCTTTGAGATCCACTTTCCCTAAAATATTTCAGAACATTTCTAACTTGTTAACTCCTTTTACAGGGGATATGACCTTGAATTGATTTTCGAAGCCACTTAAG